ACAGAATGGCATACATGTGTAAGATTTCTTGTTCACTAAGAATGTGTTGGAAGTAGACTTGGGTAACACATTTTATTTGAGATTAGTCTGTTTTTCAAAAGGCAGCGGCTATGTCTATAGCTTACTTTGTTTTGTGTCTCTTAATACCCTGCACACTATTGAACAAATATGGAAAATATATGGTCCTTTGTTGAATTTGAGCTTCCAGAGGAAATTAGTTTATAGATATTTCACAGTTAATAAGGGAAATTCTCTTAATAATTTCTCTCATTTAAGTTATGAAAAATAAGGGATTTGTATTTGATTGGCATTCAGTCAAACGAAAACAGGTGGGAATAATTTTTAACTAGCAATGTTTTTCCTAAAAATGGACCGAGAACTTTTCAATTTGTAGAAAGTACTGTGCGTCTGATTTATGATGAGTGATGGTAAAGCAGGTATAACCTCTTCCTCTCCCCCAAATGCAGGTTCTTGTCAAACTGCTGGGAGACCGAGGATTCCTTTTTCTTCTTTCTCCTTGTCAGATGATTTCTCCATATGGTACGTGATCTCTCTTTTTCACAATTATTTTAAAACTTTTTAAAGCTAAAAAACATTGCTAACAAATTTGGCTTCTGTTTGTAGAATATCAGACTGTCAAGTCTCGAGCCCTACATGCTTTGTTTCTGTTTCAAGAACCTAGAAGCATAGTTCCTTGTAAGTTCCATAAACTTTCAAATCTATGTACTTAATAACAACATTTTTTGGAAATGTCCAGCTTTTTGTCTTCATTACAGCATAGTTTGAGAGGTATTCTAAAACCAAACCAAAGTCACTGCCATTGAGTTGCTTCTGACTCACATGACCCTATAGTACAGAGTAGAAATGCTGGTGTTTTGAATTGCTGGCCTTTCATCTAGCAGCTAGCTACCTACAGAGTGCCAACGGGACTCCCTTGGAGGTATTAGCAGTATAAATACAAATCATGTGACTTGAGTATGACCCTTCTCAGTGCCCACCCCTAGTTATGGGGACATGTATTGAGATTCCACCAAATGCTTGCTCTTTCAAACTTGACGGCATATGCTACAACATGCCTGGACCAGTTTTTCATGAGTATTTTTTAGCTTAGTTAATTTTTTAATTTAAATTTCAATGATTATAAAGGAAGCATCATGTGCCAGGGTAAGGCTTGGGGGATTCAAATGAATAAGAAAATTTGCACTGATTTAATTCTTTCTCATTTTAAAGAACTACCTTTCATACTTCAGTGCAATAGTTTAATAACACATTCCCCACTGTGGATTTCACTAATGGGTAAAGGGTAAGACTTTTGTTGTAATGACTCAATGCCTATATCCCTGCTTGTCAGGAAGAACATACATGTGAAGTTTGTCATCATTTGTAGAACTAGCCTGCTAAGAGCCTTTTCTTGCTCTGCCTATTTATTTTCCCTAGATTTTGCAAGCTGCCATTTGACTTCTTTCAGGACAATTTTTAAAAATCCAAAACTCACTGTCAGTGAGTCTATTTTAACTCATAGTGGCTCTATATATACATGAGGGTAAAACTGTGCCTGTGGGTTTTTCAGACTGCGACTGTATGGATTGAAAAGCTTTGTCTTTCTCTTGAGGAGTGGCTGGTGGTTTTGAATTGATAACTTTGAGGTTAGCAGCCCCCAGTCTGTGACCACAACCAGGGCTCCGATTATCTAGGGACAATCCAAACCAAACTCAACTGCCTCTAAGTCGACTCCTACTCATACACCCATACAAACAGCTCTACTATGTTCTATAGGGTTGCTATGAGTCTTAGGGACAATAAAGAGTGAAAAATACCTTCAATTTTTAGATGTTTTTCCTTTTAAAAATACTCTGTTTTTTTTTTCATTTGTTTTAGTTACATTCTGGCCTATTTTAGGTTCCTGGACCTACAAATAAGGATTTTATGTATTTACTATATCTTATATTAGATGTATGTTCTAGAGCACATATTAGTCTTGGTCACCATGAGTATATGAGCACTGGTGTCTTTTTTGATTATATGTAGATCCACACTTTGTTCCTGAGTTGCTGATAATGATTTTCTTTTTCTTTCCCCCCAGCACAAAAAGGTTTCACCAGTACAGTACCACAGGAAAGGCATGAAAGTGTATCAGATGTATTAAAAATAACTCAGTTTTTACAATTTTCTTTGATTCAGTGTCGAAAGGAATTCAAAAATATAAATAGTATAAATTTTCACTCTGTTGTTGATAAATATGTAAGCGAATTTTTTAAGCGAGGGTTCGGCTCAGGTAAACGAGAGTTTACCATGTTTCCGTATGATTCACGATTAGATGATAAAAAATTCTTATACTCCGCTCCAAAAAATAAATCCCACATTGATGATTGCTTGCATACCTATATTTTTCGGCCTGAGATGTATCAATTACCTATTTGTCAATTAAAAGAGCTTTTTGAGGAAAATAGGAGATTTCAGCAGTTAAGTCCACTTTCAGATTATGAAGGCCAAGAAGAAGTGAATGGTGCGAAAATGAAATTTAGAAAACGGAATAACTCCAAAGGTGAGATGAGCACATCTGGAAAGCAGAAATCATCACATTCATTGGATTATGATAAGGATAGAGTCAAAGAATTGATTAACTTAATTCAGTGTAGGAAAAAAAATGTGGGTGGGGACTCAGATACAGAAGATATGAAAAGCAAAGCTATCTTGAAGAGGAAACTTGAGGATCTGCCTGAAAATATGAGAAAACTTGCCAAGACCAGTGATTTATCTGAAAATTGTCATCTGTTTGAAGGTAAATTATTAGAATGTTGCTTATTTAGTATTAATATCAACATTTTTTCCCATCTTTTTCTCTATTACAAGGATTCACAGACTGACTGTAATCCAAGTGACAAATCTAGCTTTCATCTGTTTTTGTATATATAATTTTATTCAGACTCAGCAGTGCATGTTCATTTCTGTGTATTTGGCTGCATCAGTGTTACAGTGGCAGAATTGGGACAATGAATGTATAACTTACAAACCCCAAGATAATTATTGTTTGGACCTTATGAAAACATTTGCTGTCCTCTGCCATCGTACATCAAATTTCTGGATTGTTTGTCTTAAACTAACATGGGAATAAAACATACCTAGCTATTTATGCCTGTGAATCAGCACTCCTGCCTTCTTACAATCTTATTATTTTTTTTTACAATCTTATTTTTATAGTTGGAAAATTACAACAGAATATTGGGCTCTTTTAGGATGTTGCTTAATGAAAGAAACATCCTCAACTACATATATTTATTTATTTTTAATCATTGGGGGCACATACCACTCTTATCACAATCCATACATACATCAATTGTGTAAAGCACATTTGTACAATCGTTACCCTCATCATCCTCAATTTTAAAACAAAACTTGTAACTCTGGAATATCTTTTGACTCTTCCTTGAAAAAAAAATGTTTATTTACCTTTTTTTGGTTTTATTTACCTTTTTTTGGTTTCAGTAAGCAGTTTGAAAAGTGAAAATTAAGAAACCTCCATTTTTTGTTATACACCTAGCCATGCTCAGCCTAGGTATCCATGCTTCTTGGCACATGTTTCTTCCCCCTAAATATATCCTGGGCAGTCCTTCATGACTCTTATACTGCAGTGTATTTTTGTTCTTCGGGGATTGCTTGTGTTCCTGCAATTCAAATCTTTCCTTACCTTTTTGGCTGATCTGTTCCTTTACACTCACCATTTCCCTTACCTTATGCCACATTTAGGCTATATCTCTTCATGCTTACTGATTTGTATTATCTTGTACTGTGACCTGTGTCTTTAGTATTTTATTAAGTCCTTACTATGTGCTTTGTGTATTGTGGACACATTTAGTTTTTATAATAACCTGGAGGAGTAAACAGTTTTGTCTTTATTTTACAGATGAGAAAATGGTTTCAGAGACATCAGATAATTTTAAACGTATTAGTTAATGACAGCATCCAGGTTTTAACTCGGCTATGATGCCTCCAAAGCATTGTTTCTAGATTCTGCTTTACAAGGGGACTTTGAAAAGTTGTGACAAAATTGTGGCATTCTCTAATTCCATGTCTTCATGAATTTTTTGAAGCCCTCCCCATATGTCTTAGCACTGAGCATATTGCAGACATGAACTAAAGTGCTTAATTTTGGGTACTGATATAGTTGTTTAGTTTTATGTATGTGAGAAAATATTTGTAGGTGAAAATCAGGATTATCAATAGTAAAATGGTGGGAAAGCCATGCTAACTTTAATAGACCAAAAGAGAAATGAGACAGAGAGAGAGAGAGAGAGAATGAGAATAGACTAAAGTAGAGCTAGTGATGATCTGACTTGCATTTTCAAGTGTTCTCGATGGTGTTTCTCGCTAGTCATTTTGCACAGTTTATGTCTAACAGTGGAAAATTAAAGGTTACCTCCTAACCCACTCTGTGTTTTCAACTTAAACATCAACAACTTTGATGTCCCTGGATGGCACATGTGGTTAGCAGATTGAAGTCATCCAAGAGAATGCGTGGCAGACAGGCCTAGCAATCTGCTTCAGAAAGTGCACAGTGTAGAACGCAGTTCTAATCTGTATCATGGGGTCACTATGAGTTGGAATTGACTTGATAGCAACTTAACAAAAATTTATATTGAATAAAACAGTACACTCATTTTAAGCATAGAGTTTGATGATTTGGGACAGCTGTGACACCATTCCAAGATGTAAATATTTCAGTTACCTTTGAAAGTTGCTTTAGGCTCTTCTGGCCACCTTTGCCACTGATATCTTTTCTCTGTAGATTCTCTTTTTATATAATTAAAATCATACATTATGTTGGTACACTGTATCTTTTGTAAATTGCCATCTCCACAGTTTCCTCCACCCCGAACCTTCCCAGCATGATAGCACATTACTTTCTGATGCTTGTACCTTTTGCTAGTTTTTTTATGTGTGAGGGGGAAATAGAAGATAGTTTTTTAATGCAAATTTTTGAAGCCACTTCTTTATATTTGTTGTAAAAATTATCCAAATTTATAGCTGCTTAGAGCTGTGTCTTTGGTCTTTAATGATGCCTTTTCTCAGCACAGAGATTTCTTCAGAATGATTTTGTACCTCTAGTATATACTAGCTTTTTAATGTCTCTTAAAATAATCTAGTCATTCAAGACAAGGTTTAGATTTTATGAATGTTAACAGCTCCTTAAAGACAAGATATAATGGGTGTGGAGGAGATAGCAATCAGGTAAATCATGGTTATTTTGAATGTAATTTTCCAATCCTTCAAGTGGTAAAAGAACAATTAAAAAAATATGCTCACCAAATAATACCAGGCTGGCTGGAATTTTGATGTTAGAGTTTGAAGTAATATGATTCTTGAGCTCACTTTTCCATTCATAGAATTTAATAGTTAAGATGGAGACTAACTCTCACTTAAGGGCTTGTGGGCCAGGTTCAATACTTCAACAATTTGTAAAGTAGGGACATATTTGTAAAATTTAAGCCAGTGAATGGCTTAATTGAGCGTTTCCCTATATGTAAACATTAAAATTTTGGGGTGGTGTTGAATTTGAAAAAAACATAAAACAAAAAAACCCCAACCCTTTTATTTGATCTTGTGAACGTTTAAGGAGCTGACTTTTTTCCTTTTTTCCTTTTAGAGTCTCCACAGCTTGCTGGCTCTCTCAGTGGTGGCCTTGGGCATGATGCTGATGTGAGAGGGCAGCAGCAGGGTACCTCTAACTCTGGCGTTGCCGACATCCACAGGGTGTTTGATTGGCTCTCAGAAACACTAGCAAATGCACGGCATTCTGATACACCCCTGACGGACACAGTCAACAAAGCTTTAGGACTGAGCATTGAGGGTGCATCTGAAGAAACGAGGCAAAAGCAAGAACAAGAATTGAATATTACCCAGGATAAGAAAGAGTGTGAGCAGCCTACTTGTGCAAAAATTGAAAATGTACATTTTAAGGATTCTCAGAGCCCATTACTAGATGTTGATACATTATCATTAAAATATCCTATTGCTGTTTCCACCAGTGAAGGAGACATGGATCACAAACTACATTTGAAAGAAGTAAGCATTTCTATTGGTTACTTTAATTTGCTTGTATGTGTGAAAGAGATGTGAATATGCTACATGGATTTTTTTTTTTTCATTTTAGAAAGAACCTACTTTTGAGTAACCATTTCTGTCTTGAATAACTCTTCTAACTTAAGCGTTGTTACGAAATGGCAAATACAGAAATAATTGTTTTACTTCCTGTTTATGGGATTTATCTATTGTTATAGAAGTTAGCTATAGATATTTTTGTCAATAATGGCTTATTGTTTCATAATAAAATAAAATTTTCTAGGTAGTGACTACTGGCACTAACAACTCAAAGATGAGATAGATGAGGCAAAGCAAGTGAGGTCACAGCTGCAGTATGATACTATTGCGTACTTTTACATCGATATCTGCCAATAACAGTGGAAAACGAGTGACCTTTAGGGTTATCTTTGAAGTGACTCTCAGCCTTGCTTGTCAGGGCATCATGGGTTCCTGTGGAGCAATGTGCACAATTGAAGAAAAAGAAGACAGCAGAGCACAGGGGACTGATCTCCATTCTTGGGAGAAATAGAAGAGTCCAGAGTTTATTCAGCAATAGGGTTTTGTAGTTCTTGAGGCCTGCAAGCCTCCTGTTATACATACACATTAAACAAATGGGCAGTGTGCTATTCTTTGAATATCCCAAGCCATCAAGGGGAATACCTCAAATGGAGTATTTGGTATGCAAGAGACAAGGTACAAATTGCTCTTTTAAGAATAAGGGACAAAGGGAGTAAATGCTCCAAGACAGTGGTTTTCAACTTTCCTAATGCCGTGACCCTTTAATATATAGTTCCTCATGTTGTGGTGACCCCCCCAACCATAAAATTATTTTCGCTGCTACTTCATAACTGTAATTTTGCTACTGTTATGAATCAGCCGACCCCTGTGAAAGGATTGTTCGATTCCCAAAGGGATCGCAACCCACAGGTTGAGAACCGTTGCTCTTTAAGAGAGAAGCATTCTTTAACTGAGTGATTCTCAACCTTCCTAATACTATGACCCATTAATACAGTTCCTCATGGTGTGGTGACCCCCCAATCATAAAATTATTTCCGTTGCTATGTTACTTCATAACTGTAATTTTGCTATTGTTAGGGATTGGGCGACCCCTGTGAAACGGTCGTTCGACTCCCAAAGGGGTTGCGATCCACAGGTTGAGAACCGCTGCTTTCACTCTTTGTGAGGAGCCTGGTGCCTGTAGGAGACAGCTTCACAATAGCATTTTAATGGGAGAGTCCATGTGCTTGTGGAGAAAACCACCTTCCTGGAATATGTGCATTTGGGCACTTCCCATATTTTGGACTGTGGAGGCATGCCTCTCACTAGGGCTGGCTTGCCAGTGCCAAGCTCTGTGGTCACGAGTACCGGGAGCAGGCCGCATTCACTTTTGTTCAGGTCATCAGTTTGGCACATTTCCCCCTGTTTTATGTAATTGAGATTTTAGAGCATAGTGCGCCTGTGCTTGTTCAATAAGAGCTTGGCCTAGAATTGTAAGGAATTCCTGTGGTATAATGTATGTGCCAGTCTTGACAAAAATTGTGAAACTGCTTGCCTAGTATAAGTGGGATCATGGTCTATTATCAAATGGGCTGGGCTACCCATCATGGCCAAGCAGGACACAAATGGCTAAAAATGTGTCTGGTGGATTCTCCAGCCCTGGTGGATGCCCACAAGAACCCTGAGAATGTATCTTTAATAACGTGCATAGCTCCTGATCTTCCAAGCGAGTATGAAAATATCCATTTGCCAAAGTGCACTGGATTGACGCCACTCAATCTCTCCTTAAGTGTCGTTTGCTGGCAATGTATGCAATCTGGGACAATTTGTCTGGCGTAAACCCAGGTCAGATATCTATGCCTCAAGCTGACTGTGTTATTATTGCAAACCTTGGTGCTCTGCTCACTAGGAAGCAAAAGATAGCATCACCTGCTGAGTTAGCATATCTGTATTTGCATTTCCCATGGTAACAAGCCCAGGCAACTCGTTATATGATTGGGTGTGACCCATGGGGTGGTGGTGGACATGGCTGTGGAATCTTATTTGAATTTGTAAGGTGAGAAAGAACTGAACCAATGTCTAAGTCCAGGTATGTTTTCAGATTTGCTGTTTCAATGAAAGAGCATACTTGAACTGCATATGCAGAGTCACTAATTATGTATATTGATCAGCTGCTTCACATTTTGAACAGAAAGAGCAAATACTTCCTTTTTCTGAGCTGAGACATAACAAGTTTGAAAGGATAGAAAGGGATTCCAGTAGAGTGCCCAGCCTTTGCTCGAACTGTCTGTAAAATGCATAGGCGAGGAGATTTTGTTAATAATCCATGGAGTCCATATCAGGAACTCCCAGAGTTTCCCGAAGGGTAATGACAATCTACTGTCCCATAAAAATCAGCCAGCACTATTTGAAAATCTGCAAAAAATTCCAAGAGTTTTTTTATCTGAGCCAGCGTGTAAGGTAAATATAATTGTCGAATCATGCTCATTCATTGTTGACAGCAGCGTCAGCCCCAAGCAGTCAACTGAGCTCTTGGTCCCCAATAAGGTCAAATGCCTTTGGAGCCTGTATTGCTTAGATGAAGCCGCTCTAGAGGCTTTTCCTCTTGTG